AGGACTTCCTGGATATCATCCTGGCACACCTAGGCTTGCACCACACCAGCTCTATTTTGGCCAAGGAACTCCTGGCATGATGCCCCCTCAGCCTGCAGGCTACAGTTTCCAGCCGCAACTCTTGCCTGGAATGCGTGCTGCTGTTGGCCCCAACTTTGTCATGCCGTATCAGCTGCAAAGGCAAGGACAACAGGGGCAGAGGATAGCTATGCGGCCTGGAGGGAACCACCAACAGATGCAGCAGCAGCAGGTGCTTTATTGTTTACATGTCTTGCAACATATGCAGCAGCAGCAGGTGCTTTATTGTTTACATGCCTTGCAACATTTCCTTCCTTTATCTGTCACTCAAGAACACATCATATTTCCCTCTTTTGCCTGTTATATAAGAAAATGTCATGTTTCCCCTTACCCAAGAAGTGTGGTCAGTAATTTTCACATGTTGATTTTACTGCTCTACATGAGCAAATACCTTTTAATTTTACCTAGTTTTTACTGCAAAGAGGCACTTGCTTGATTGAAACTTCACGACTAAATTATGAGATATTATTGCACTTCAATCTGTTGAAATTGTTTTGTCCAAACTTTCTTCCTCTGATGGTTAATTGCATGGTGAGAGTGGTCGCTTTTATTTTCATCATTACTTGAGCTTTTTTGGCTGACTGCATCATACTATTCTCATTTGTGTTTCATATCATGGGTTAATGGTACTCAATTCGGTGTTGCTCCTAATGTTGATATGTAACTTGTAGTTGATTCAAAAAATACTCTGCTGCAAGTGTTCGCCCATGTCTGATTTCCGGTTCATTTTGAATTCAGCTATTGCACCGGAATACTAATCAGGGCTTAAGATACGTGGGCAGCGCAAGAAATGGCATAGATTCGTCTGTGGTTCCACAAGGTTTTGTTGGTCCAGTGATGCCATTGTCCTTTGAGGCTTCAGGGATGCCTGTAACTCCTGGTCATGCCCAGCCAACCACTCCAGTGCCCATTTCAACTCTCACAACCGCTCTGGCTTCTGCTACACCGGAGAACCGCATGATGGTATGTAACACCACATTGCTCCTCCACTCCGGGAGAATGCGTTTTATTTGGTGAAGATAGATGTATGAAACATAACTTCTCATCTTTTTATATATCTCTGGCAGATGCTGGGTGAACAGCTTTATCCCCTTGTGGAATGTCTGGAGCCAGATCATGCGGCAAAGGTGACTGGGATGTTATTGGAGATGGATCAAACAGAGGTGCTACATCTTATTGAATCTCCAGATGCTCTCAAGAAAAAGGTGGCTGAGGCAATGCAAGTCCTTCAGGAAGCTGGTGCTTCTAGCGTTGGTGATCAACCTGGCTCCTTGGCACTCAATGAATGAAGCATAGCTTATTTTCGTGGGTAAATACAATGATTGATACATTGGAGTTTATGAGCACAGTTTTTATGGGCTTGATGACCCCACCCTTTTTTAGAATTTTCTCTGAAACTAATATTATAGGACCTTACTTTATTTAGTGGATTGGCAGCTTAGACTACCGAATTTGAGCATGACAGCGATTTTTAGGGTTTTTTTCTGAATCTTGAAACCACAAAATTATCGAAGCACAATCTGAAAACGTGGCAGTGAAAACTTAATTTGTGTCACAAGATGATGTATAGAAAACGGAATGGGAACTGAATAAATAAAGGATAAGAGCCAACGGAGTTAAAGGGCGCGTTATCTGTCCTCATTTTGTTAGCTGCAAGGTCTAAACTCTAAACCAGATTTTGGCACTGTTCCCTGCATCTTCTCTGGTGTGCAATGAACAGGATGAGCTTCCAGTATCGAATGTTCCTAACCCGTAGAAGAATTAAACCTCCAAAAGAAGTAAAAGCATGATCTCAAACGAGATCAACTGCACTCCAAATCAATGACAAGTAGCTCAAAGCTTCCAAATTTCAGTTAATTTTGGTCCCTGACCTATATAGAAAGAGTATTGAACAGGGTGAAAGATGTTTACATGAAGTCTGGGTGGACATCATCTTCTACCTTCTGATCGTCATCCAATATGTTCTCCCAATCACCACAGTTCTGGTGGTGAGCTCCAACATTTCTCCCCCTCCCAGAGTTAAAACCATCTTCATCTTGCGTTATGTAATCTTTCCATTTGGAAGCCTTGGTTTTCCCCGTTGTCGGCTGGGAAATCCTTTCCTCCTCAACCTGTGTCATGCTATCACTCCATTTTGAATTGCCAGCAGCCTTTGTAGACTGATATTTCCTTGATTCCTTGCCTGCAACTCAAAGTTAACCAGAACAGTTAAAACTATGAAACTTAAAACATGAGGAATATCTTGGATTCATTTACTACGATTCCAGTACCTCGAGACATGGGAATTTTGCTCGCATCTCTCTTTGAAAAAACCGGCTTGTACGGATTTCCATCGCCATGATCTCCACTATTCTGCCCAAAATCATTCTTCAATCTGGGTTTCTTAAACATCTCCTTGGGAAACTCTGTCACGACCATTGGCCCAGGTTCCTCTCCTGCGTTACCATATTCCAATTTCCCTCTCAAGAGCTCCATGATCAACATTAACCCAAAATTATATTCAACCATTCAATTAATTGATCAAAATTAAGACAATTACACTTAAAAAGAAACACGTACAGGTACCTTCGTCCTCTTGTTTAATATTATAATCTTCCTCTGCATCAAGGTAATCAGTCCAATCAGAGCGCCTCTTTCTCTGGCAATCTTCATTTAACCCAGTATGATCAGTTTCTGATGTTGGGATTAGCGCTGCATCTTGATCGAAAGAGTCTTGTTCGTCAGCGATCTTGCGAGACATGTTGAATGATTGGACAAACTTGCGGAGGTCTTTAGCCATGCAACCTTGAGCAAAGACTTTCCTTACGGACTGCTTCTGGTTGCAAACTGCGCATGTCCATTTGTTGCTGCTCTTCTTCTTTTGCTTCACCTGGACACGCAAAAAAAAATAAAAAATGTTTGTCTTGGGATGAGTAGATGAACAGAAAGATTGGTAAAAACGAGAGAAAGAGAGAGATGAGGGTGCCTGCATCGTGGAGCACTGGTAGCACTGTAGGGCGATGAAAATCATCTGCATGATCTTCTTCCGGGTGGAAAGCAATTTTTCGCTTTTGTTTCTCGATCTGTTTGGGGTTTGGTTTTGAAATGGTTTTTTTATTTTTAGGCGGGGAGGTGGGGTTCTGGAGGTTTAAATTTTGAGTGTTTGGCGCCAATATTTAGAATTTTGGGCCAGCTGCTGGAAATGGGCCCGTGGCCTGATTTGCCACCGCATACGGCTACACACAACTATTAATTTTTTTTAAAAAAAACAGAAGAACATAATTCTTGTTTTTCAGTTCATTTTAAAAATTAAAAATATATTAAATTGATAATTTTTTTATTTTTTAAGATTATTTTGATATGTTAATATAAAAATTTATTTAAAAATAAAAAATTTATTTAAAAATTATCTTATTTAAAAATAAAAAATATTTTTAAAAATTATCCTTTTTTAAAATTATTTTTATATATTGATATAAAAATTTATTTAAAAATAAAAAATATTTTTAAAAATTATCCTGTAACACGATATCAAATATGTTTAAAACTGTCTTAATACTTGAATTGAATGGAAAAACATGTAGGAGATTTCAAATATGTTTAAAACTGTCTTAATACTTAAATTGAATGGAAAAAGATAATCAATTAAAAATATTAGCTCAGGGTTGTTCTTGATCACTTGAATAAGTCAACGTAAATAGGCAGCCACAAATCCCACACGAAATAATGGGAATTTGAGTGGCAATGGTTCAAGTAAATAAATTTGCAGTGCATTTCGTATATTTCAATAGCTATTTATGTTTAACATGTTTAATATTAACATTTTGTACTCTTTTTTTCTGAAAAGATATTGAAAAGAGTTTAATTAATAAAAAATAAATATTTAAATAATTTATTTTTAATGTTTTGAAATAAGAATTACTTTTTTTGGAAAAAAACATTAACTTTTCATTTGTTTTTCTTAAAGTAAAGCTGCAAAATTAGAGAGCAAAATGCCAAAAAAATAGCCTTTTTATTTTTGGCCCTCGCAAGTCGCAATAAAGATGCTCTCCTAAACCCCTGGCCAACATCGCCAAACCCCAGCACTCAAAATTAAAAGCTCTTATCCCTCTCTTTTCGGTACTGATTGATGTCTTTGGATGGAGAGGGTCTATTGGACCAAATCTCAAATCTCAAATCTCAAATCTCCTTGTTCACCAATGAACGTGCTATCATCACGACTGCCTTCATAGATGCCGTAAACTCCTGTGCCCAACATCGTATCTTCAGTGTTGAGTTGTCTTACTGGATCGTGGTCAAAGGATCCATAACAAGCACTCCATCGACGCCATTTACGTGAACGTGAAGCACACACGAACAAGGCAGATGCACACAAGAGAAGAATCACTGCATCCAGGCCAGCTTCTGATGAACAGTGGTATTTGTCTCAAGTGAAGTTGGCTAGCCATGGTAATTTTTTGATGTTTGGTTCTCTGTGATTTTGAGAGAGTTTATAAGGCTCATTTTTGCCAAATGGGATTGCTGGATTTGAAGGATTTGTTAGAGTTTGGATTGAGATAATTTTTTTGACTCTTCATGATTCTTGTAATATATATAAAATTTAAAGTAAAAAAAAATCTAAAAAAATTAAGTTTTAAAAAGGAATTTTAAAACATGGTGCAAAAAAACATTTTTTTTAAATTACGGTTCAATTGTTTTTCTTGAATTTTTTTTAAATTTTTTTAATACTATTAAAAATTTAAAAATATTTTTTTAATAATTGTTTTTTTAAAAAAACAACGTCTATTTTACTTCAAAACAAGCGCCTAATCACCGTATTACAGCATTAATGCATCGTTCCAACTATACCTAGCTGCTGCTTTTTTTAATTTTTCGTCGGTGGTTTGATAAGGATCCATTTTGACATTGACAAGGGCCTTACGATGCATACCTAAAAAAGATCCACACCTTTCATCCAGACCATTTTCAATCTTTATACAGCCTAGGCCCAGTCTAAACCTGTAAAAGAAGGGAGTTGGGACTTGGGGTTTTTAGAGTTTAGCCTAGAGAATTTCTTCTGGGTGTCTGCTCTCTTGCTCAGTGAAAATGCAGAAGCGATTGCAGATTTCTCTTTTCAAATTGCTTTTGAGACGCCCTTTTGAACATTCCCCGAAACCCACAATTCCGTTCCCCCTCCAGTCGCGAGCTCTGATTCCAACCTATTTCGTTCCGAACTCAATCGACTCTTCAAACCCCAAATTTCTCCACTCCCCTGCCTCAAATCTCCACACTTTCACACACCCTTTTAGACCCTACACTCGAACTCGGTCCCTGACTGACCAAAATCGGAGAGGACACAGTACTGAGTCTGGAGATGAGTCGGTGCCCTTGTTAGATGTCAACAGAGAAGTTGACATGATAAACCTCAAGTTTGCAGACGCAAGAGAGGAGATAGACATGGCTTCGGAGTCAAAAGATACTGTCTATTTTGATGAAGAGGCTGAGTGTGCAAGGGCTGCAGTGAAGGAAGTTATGGACATGTTTGAAGGACTACTAGGGAAATTGCCAGAGAGTGAAAAGGCAGCTTTGCAAAGGTCAATGGGGCTCAAGATGGAGCAGTTAAAGGCCGAGCTTCAGCAGTTAGATGATTAACGAGGTTTGTGATAATGAGTCTTCGCTTAAATTCTCTTTAGTGCTTTCCATTTTTGGGGTTTTGCAATGTATTATGTTCTCATTGAGGATAATTTTGATATTGATGTTATAGGTGGAAAGGGCTTTGTTATGATGCATGGGATGTTTACGGTACGAAATGAAGATGATTTTGAATAATGGATCAATTCAAATTTAATAATGTCAATGGTACTAATAGTGGAAACTCTGTTACCTTCTGACTTAAAAGATATTGTTTTATGTAGCTTAGAATCATTTTTTGACAATATGAGGCCTATGCAATGAATGGTCACATGCTTCTATTATGTTCATGCTTTGACTGACGAATTGGAGCTTGTTTGGGTAAGTCTGCCTCTCTTGTTATGGATGTTACGGATTTTATTTTGAGCAAAACAAATGGATAAATGTTATGGGGAAATATTGCTGTTATTGAACTGAGAATGCACCATTGCAGTTGATGCTTTTAACTATATCCAATGAGTAGCTTCTTGCTTATAAGAACCCACCAAAGATTAGGATGATACTTTCATATGTAAGGTTGAAATTGAGAGCTAGGAGAAAATATTAAGAGCCCACATTTTGCCACATTCAACTCAAGCATTTTGTGGTTTAGTGGCAATGAGGCCATGTTCATAGGTAATATGCAAGGAGAAGGGATCTGCCATGGAGTGCTCTGAAATGCCGAAGAAATACATTCAATTCCATTAAAGTTTGCCTGCATCAAGGTTCCTAGTACTGGATTAACAGGCACTAACTGCGTGTTTCTTGTACTTTTTATTCAGAGTTGTATGTTTTCTACTGTCAAACACTGAATTCTTACAGTTTTCTTCAATCCAGAGATCAATGGTCCTTGTTATTCCTTTGCACTGCTCTCACCTCTTTGTCCCAGTTATCTCCCACTTGTAGACTTGACCATACCCTGGAGTTGTAGTCTGTTTATTGAAGAAGACTGATTTTTAGACACAATGGATATAGATTCCTCTCTTCCACACAGTGGCCTCTAACAAGGGAGTTAAGTTTTGGGTAGCTATTCAACAATTGGGCTTGGATCTCAATTTGTCCAACCAATATGGCAGGCTAAAAGCCACATTTAATTTCGAAGGACTAGGAATGTCTTTAACCATCTATTGTCCTTTTTTCCATGGTGCGGGCAACGAAATCTTGCAGAACATATCCTGTAAAAGCCCCAAAACGCTGGAGATTAGATGGAAAAATGCAACTTGTAAGCATGTACACTCCTGAAGCCTGTTACAATTTCATGCAATAATAGCAAAAAGAAACGACTAAATTCAAACTGCCTGCCTTTAGATGTCTCTTTGATGTGACAGAGACTGCTCAAATAGCAGTGTTTATATTTTCATTTTGAGACAGGTAGATCCATACGGGTGCTGGAAAGTTTTTAATACATCAGCAGGATGTAAATTTAGTTCATGAATGGGGCATTTTTTCAGTAACCAGTGATAGATATTGCCAATTGGGGCATTTTTTCAGTAACCAGTGATAGAAATTGCCAACAACATTAAACTTATTCAATTTCCCTTCCATTTTCCTTAGCCAGCACCTGAATTCTTTGATAAACTAGAGGCTTCATCTCTTTAGAGCTTTTTTCATGTTATTGATTTCCTAGTTCATGCTGAAATAACTTGCTTATAGCTGATCCACAATTTACTTCTGATGCTTTCACGCAATCATTTTATGGAGTATATGTTTAGCGTTATTATTCTTTATACTTCCAATACTGGTTAAAGTTGAGATGGAGAGGGGAAAGATTGTGGACCTCAATTTGGAAGGCAGCAATGCCATTGTTGTTTTGACGAAGGTGTGTTGCTTTGTAGATTGGTATGGCATGATATGTAGTTGATTACTTTTAGTTATCTGGCATAACTAAGTGTTGCGTCAAATTAGAATTTAGAGTATTCTTCTGGAGTTAGATCCATGAACTAGCAAGCAATTCATAGGCTGCCCATTGGTAGTGACTAGAAATTTCACTTTCTGGAAAATATTTCTAATAAATCATACAGTATTTCGTGGAAACTCCTGTTCAACACAATAATGGAAACTGAATTTCATTGTCTTCCTTGCAAAGCAATGGAGTTTACAATCTAATATCCTTTTTTCTCATTAAACTTTCCATATGATCCAATTCTTTTTTTCTATTTCTTAAAATAAAAAAATAAATTGAGAAATAACAGAAAATGGGGGGAAAGATCAAGTTACATACAACTTTTAACATATAGGGACTAATTAATTATTTTTGAAACTAGAGAGACTATTCATTTCATTATACAAAACTATAGGGACTCATTTATAATTTACTCAATCAGAGGAGGGCATGCTGAGAAACCTTAGCGAGGGATGGCTCTTCGGAAGAGCGAAGATCTGTAGTTGGTGAGGGGTGAGATAATGTCTCCTGACATGTAATGGGAATTTACTGGATGTATTGTTTAGGCGCTGACGAGGTAACACGGTGTTTCACTAACGGTAGTTATACAGGAGCAGAATATCCAAGTAATTTGTCAGGTGTTTGCCGATTGGTTCTCAGGGATGGCTGTGTGCTACTACAGTAGGGCGTGTTAAACTGCAGTCCATGGTTTTCAAAGATTATATGGTTGATACGGGAAGAGATGTGCGAAATTGCAGCCCATATAGAAAGCAAAGCATACAAGGAAAGGAGAGAGCAAAAGAACAATGGTATCAGAAACAGATAAAATGCATGTGGAGAAAAGAAATTCCATTATGTGGCTTTTGGGGACAAGCTTAGTGGTCTAAAAAGAAGAGGTCACTAAGAAATTGAACTCGTATTGGGAGGTTGTGAGCCCTAACTTCTATATGATATTTCTTTGATTGCAATGTTTCAGGACAGCGTCTGGCAAGTATGGACAAGTAGCAAGTTCTGCAACTTGATGTCACCAGAGGCCATGTTCAAGTTGAAAAGCACCAAATGCAACTAGTAGGTTCATTCATTTTATTTACAAATAAAACCAAGTAACTTGAAGTGGACCAGAGAAGACACAAAAGGCGCCGGTTGCAACCATTTTGACAACGGGATTTTTCCTTTTTAGTTAAAGAAGAGGACGTCGATTCTCATGTGGTGAGCATGGAATGACTGTCTTCTTGTCTAGCTCTTCTTTTCTTTCGGAACTATTCTGTTAGGGTCGCCTCTTGTCGGGGCACGTTCTATATATATATATATAGACACACACACACACATATTCTAGCCGATCGGGTCAAGTATAATTGTACATTTTCCAAGAGAATCGGCTGCGCCATTTATTGCTTGTTTCAAGAGTAACAGTTTGCATGATACTCGTTAACATGTAAAAATCTCTAGCGCATATAGACACAAGGTTGTTGCTGTTAGAAAGCTGAAAACAAGATAACTGGAAATTTCAATCAATAAAAACCCATATGAACTTAAAAAAGGTATAATAGCCCAGTAGAAATTACTTATTTTTTGAGAACATGCTATAAGTTTTATCCATATGTGTTTTCATTGCAACCTCATTCTAGATCTAGTTGCATTTTATTGGAAGGTTGAAACAAGGTTATAATATTGTTTTTAAAGGAAATTCATCAATTTGAATCTTTAGAAGCAATTTGTCAAATTTAAAAGTAAAATAATAAAAGTTCTCTTACATGATACCCTATCTAAGGTTATCTCTCATTATTTGTTGAAGATAAAATGTATAAAATAGGGGGCTAACAGAGGTTTTTCTTGTGTTTAATCTAACTTGATGCTTGGAAGTCTACCACAAATCAAAACTTATTATATAAATAATCATTTAGTAGATGTTCCGGTGATAAAAACTTGGAATTAAAGAGTTTGATTCTCCTGTGGTTTCAAGTTTGAACCATGTAGTTGCTAATATGATGATTACCAGAGATTAGGTTTGCATGATCATTAACTTTAAAGCTTGTAAGATTAGTCGAGGTATGTACAAACTTACTCGGATATTTATGTTAATAAAAAAAAAATTCATTATATAAACACTAGAAGTAAAAAAAATTATGTTTTTTCAATATAGAATTATAAACTTTTTTTTATTTAAATACTTCAATTTAAAAATAAAAAAATATTTTTAATATGGAATAAACCTAACATTACTCACTTTTTATTTTTTCTACTAACTTTGTTTTTCTCTCACCTTTTTTGAAATATTTTAGAAGCAATTTGTCAAATTTAAAAGTACAATAATAAAAGCTCTCTTATATGATACCCTATCTAAGGTTATCTCTCATGATTTGTTGAAGATAAAAGGTATAACATAGGGGGCTAACAGAGGTTTTTCTTGTGTTTAATCTAACTTTATGCTTGGAAGTCTACCACAAATCAAAGCTTATTATATAAATAATTATTTAGTAGATATTCAGTGATAAAAACTTGGAATTAAAAAGTTTGATTCTCCTGTAGTTTCAAGTTTGAACCATGTGGTTGCTAATATGATGACTACTAGAAATTTACATGATCATTAACTTTAAGGCTTATAAGATTAGTCGAGGTGTGTCCAAGTTCGCTCGGACATTTATGTTAATAAAAAAAAGTTTATTATATAAACACTAGAAGTAAAAAGATTGTGTTTTTTCAATGTAGAATTATAAACTTTTTTTTATTTAAATACTTCAATTTAAAAATAAAAAAATATTTTTAATATGGAATAAACCTAACATTACTCACACTTTTTATTTTTTCTACTAACTTTGTTTTTCTCTTACCTTTTTTTAAGTATACGAGGGTTCATTAACTATACAAGACTTGTTTTGAAGGGGAAGATCCAGACCCAAATATCCCAGTACAGCTCAGTATTAAACCTAAACATTCTAGTCCAGCCCATGAAAAACCCAAAATACTTAATTGAAGTTTAATGCAGCTTCATCACCTACCATTGCCGAGGCTCCAATGCAAATACATGATGAATGTTTCCATAGAGTGTGGTCTGCATACGTCATTTCTACTTCAAATTGCTTTAGCCCCTAATACCTGGGATTGTAAAGATTGACCTGGCCATGAAAGAAACAAAAAGGGAAGCTTATTGAACTAATCATGGATCTTTTTATTTCTTTATTCACGTTACATCAAGGTATTATCATGTTGAGGTTCTGAATTTAAGTTAAACGACGGATTCCTTTCTCTTTATCAGGAAAAAAAAATAGCCAAAAGGGCATTGAGCAAGAGGGAAATGAGGATGTTGTTGTAAGGAGTTGCTGATTATTATCTTATTAGATCTTTTTGACCTGATACTTCGTCTCATGAAAAAAGGGGGATGTGGACCGTGTGAAGAATAGTTGAGAAAGGGGACACAAATTAGCCTGTTGAGGCATGGGGGGAGGAAGAGGAAAGCATGGCCT